AAATAGAAAGGCATAAGGATCATAAAGATCAAGTTCTGGAAATAGTTGCCTCTTAGGAGGGCTCAGAGACTGGGGAGAATACAATATGGATATGTAGATATCGTTAATGGTTTATTTCTTAAACTGCTTGGTTGTGATGGTTTGAGCTAAAACGTCCCCAAGAGTCTTGCGCTCAGAGGTCGGACCACTGGGAGGTGACTGGACTATGGGGGCATTGTACTGACACGTGGATTCATCCCCTGTTGGGTTGTAGCTGAATGTGTTGCTAGGAGGAGCGTGGCAGAGGTGGTCCGTGGGGTGCCCCGGGGGAGGGTCTCTCTCCCGCTCCCCCCTGGCTGGCTATGGTGTGCTCAGCAGCTTTCTTTGCTGTGCCCTTCCTCCATACTGTTTCTGCCTTGGAGCAAGGTGACTATGGACTGAAACCCCTGGAACCGTGAACCAGAACCACCCTGTCCTCTAGTACTGGTACTGCATACATACTGGTTATGCATCCTACAGTCAGCCCTCCCTGTGGACGAGCTCCGCATTCGTGGAGTCAACCAGCTGCATTGTGAAAACGTTCAGGTAAAAGTTCACATCCGTAGTAAAATGTATGGATTTCTTGTCATTCCTTAAACAATACATTATTTACGTAGTATTTACATCATTGTATTGGGTATTATGAATACTCTAAAGGTGATTTAAAGTGTGCCGTGGAAGATGGGCAGAGGGTACATGCAAATACTCTAAGGTACCTGAACATCTTTGTAGCTTGATAGCTGCAGCAGGTCCTGGAACAAATTCCTTAGGAATACTTTTGTGATATTTTAAATATCTTAGAAGAAATTTTAAAAATTAGATAAGCCGTAAGAGAGGAGTCGCAGAGGAGGGTGGGGAGCCAGGCAGAGGTCGGATGATGGGCTCCCTTGTTGGCCGTTTCAAAGTTAGGCTTTCGTGTAAAGGCAAAGGGGAGCCACCGAAGGCTTCAGATGGGGGAATGAGCCTGTGGGATTAACGCTCAGAACCTTGGCTCCCGCACAGCGCGGAGCCTGGATCTGGGGCGAGCGGGCGCGCAGGAGAACGGCTAGGAGACAGTTGCTGCGTCTGTGCTACAGAAATTCTGCTCCTCACACTGTCTTTCTTTGGCTTCTCTTCCTCGTTCTCCCTCACCTCCCCGCACATGCTTTTGTCTTTGCATGTATTTCCCCTTCCTCCTTCAGTTCCTTAGATGTTACTCTATTCTAGGTTTTCTTTCTTTTTTTTTTTTTTTTTTTTTTTGGTACTGGGAATCAAACCCAGGACCTTGCGCTTGCCAGACAGGCGCTTGTGCATTGAGCTATATCCCCAGTCCATGTTAGTGTATTCTATAGTGTTTGTTTTATATCCTTTGCTTTTCTTAACTTTTAGTTATATGCCTTAGTGTTCTCATTTATATTCCCAAGTTCAGCTGTCAGCTTTATTTATTTATTTACTTATTTATTTTTGTCTTTTTGAGACAGGGTCTCGCTATGCAGTTCAGGCTGGCATTGAGCTCACTTTGTAGCCCAGGCTGGTCTCGAACTCACAGCGAGCCTCCTGCCTCAGCCTCCCGAGTGCTGGGATTACAGGCGTACGCCATCATGCCCGTGGTGTGGGCGTTATGCTCACTATTCTCACATTTATTTCTTCAACTCACTCCTTTCTCCTAGCTCCTGACTGCATATTGGACAGTTCTTCTCGGCTATGTAGTAATTCAACAAACACCCAGCGTGCCCAAAGCAGACCCATTATTCTTCCTAAATGTGTCTTTTTTCCTCCCCTTGGATCTTGACTAATCATACACTCTTTATCCAGTTGTTCCAGTAGAAATCTGGGTGTTATTCTAGACTCCTTTGTGAACTTTCCTTTTAATTGGTTCCCGTGGTAGGAATAAGGATAAGGTTTTGGTGTGATGTGCTCTGACATACGTAGCAACCTTGGGATGTTTGAAACCTATCTTGCTAATCACGAGACTGCTTCCTCTTTAGCAGATTTTAATCATTCCACCTCCAGGAAGGTTATAGCCTTAGAGCGTTTCATGCCAGACTCTTCTTGACCTGATTTTCATCCTCGTCTGCTCCCACTTTTCTCTTATACTTTGTTCTGTAGCAACATAACATCCTGGAAACTCCTGAATGTTCCTTATTGTTTTAGAGCTGACTTTACTTCGGCAAGAATGCTTTTTCTTACCATGCCTGTCTGTGACAGTCTTGATGTTTTAAAAATTAGCCCAGGGAACCCTTGCTTGGCTGTGCCCTCGCGTCTAGTTCCATACCTGTTTTTCCTGGGTAAATTCTGAGCATCTCAGGACACGGGGTGCTTATTCATTTTTGTATCTTTATGGCCTTGGCACATGGTAGATGTTCTACAAATGTGTTTAGGGTTGTCTTACACAGCAAGCTCCACCTTTTTCTTTTTTTCTTTGTGCTAAGATTATTTGAGGTTGGTTGCAAATTCCTGAAATAACTATGTCAGAGGAAAGAATACAATGTAAGCTCTTAGAACAGTTGTGAGCCTAGTCTGCTATTCTGATATTTTCTACTATTTTGGTAGTTTGCTTGGCAACTTGGGACACAAATCACTTACATGTTTGACAGCTGCAAACCTATAATCCTAGCACTTGGGAGGCTGAGGCAGGAGGATCATTATGAATTTAGGGACAGCCTGAACTATATAGCAAGATTTCATATCAAAAACAAAGGACTGAACCTAACTAAACCAAAAATTATACTTAATGAATAAAAAATTTTAAAAAATAATGAGAAAAGGTGACAGTATAAAATTTTGAAATTAAAAGAAATACTAGGAGGCGCCTGAAAGAAAATAATTATACATCGTAATCTAGTAGAAGTTTGGAAATCAAAGTGGATAACTTCAGGCATTTTGTCTTGTCTCGGGATGTTCCTTTGGACGCTATGACATGAGAATCTTGAGTTGTATCAGTAGTTTCAAGTTGGTTGCCTGGGACAGTTGCCAGGAAGCTAAAAGCATACCAATTCCTCCCCCTCCACTCTTTTGTGGTGTGAGATCAAACCCAGGACTTTACGTATGCTAGGCAAGTGCTCCACCACTGAGCTATGTACCTGTCCCAAAGCGTACCATTTTCTAGTTCCCAGTCTAGATTAGTTGGTCCGATTTTGGGCTTGGGAATCAGTACTTTGTACTTTAAGATTTACATTTTTTTTTATTTTGTACTTTCTGGGTATCTTGCTGCTGGGGATTGAACCTAGGGCCTGCTATGCGCTAGGCGTGTACTCTGCCCCCGGGCTGTGCCCGTAAACAGCTCTCCCGTCCTAGTGGGTAGCAGGAGTGCAGAACCAGTGGATTAGGTGAACTCTGAGGTTCATCCAATAATGAATTCACATTTTATCTGATTAAAATTTTTTTTTTATTGTCCTGGGGATTAAACCCCGGACCTTTGCATTGAGTTATACCCCCAGTCTTTCCTCCTCTTATAAACTTTCAATTTTTTTTTTTGTTTTAAATTTTGATACAGGGTGTCTAAGTTTCTAAGTAGCCCAGACTGGGCTGAAACTCTTTTTTAATTTCAAGGAAATATCAGTTTATTTGTTATTTTATTTTAATGTAATTTAATTTAATTTTTTGAGAGAGGGTCTCGCCATGTAGTGGAGGCTGGCCTTGAACTCCATATGTAGCCCAGGCTGGCCTCCAACTCCCAGCAATCCTTGTGCCGCAGCCTGCCACGTGCTGGGATTACAAGCATGCCTCACCGGACCTGGCTCTCAAGGAAATATTTATGTAGTGAACACTTTACATAAATGTTGTAGCGTTTTCAGTTGTGATCCAGATTCTTCTTTTTTTTGGTGGTGCCGGGGATTGCACCCAGGGCCTTGTGCATGCAAGGCAAGAACTCTACCACCGAGCCACATCCCCAGTCCCGATTCCAGATTCTTCTAAGAACTGTCTTCATCATCTCTAAAACTTCTTCCTTTCCTTGCATAATTATAAAGAATCTTCCTTACAAATCTCCAGGCTTTCACTCTTGCTGACTTATGCTCATCTTCCAAGCATGTGTAAGTTTCCTTGATCCTTTAATAAAATAATAAAAACCCTGTGCTCAAAGCTGCTATTTATTCTTCAAACTCTTCCCTTCTCCCTATTCTCCTCCCTCTCAGCATTTTCAAAAAGAGACGTCCGTGTTGGGTATGTTCGCGTGCTCATCTTCTCACTCAGTCCGTGGGAATCCAGCTTTGCACGTTCCCACTAGCAAAACCTTCCCCTCCGGAGATCTGCCAGCTTCCGGCTGGCCAGTCATACCGTGCTTCTTGAGCCGATGTGTCACCTCTTGCTGCCCTTTGTGATCCTATAGTAATGAGCACCTTTTCCTTCTTAAAGTGGTTTTCTATTCTTAGCCTCTGTGTCAGGGAATTTTCAGAATTTCGCATTTTTCTCTCACTCTTCCACCTCACTGGAAAAGTGGTGATCTATCGTATGTTTGAGAATATCCAGTGATTTATTTTCATTCGCTCAACAAATATTCAGTGAGTGACTGCAAAGTGCCAGTTACCTCTTCCTACAGAACAAGTCAGCACAGACTTAGTAGCTAAAAACAGGTGCACTTATTATCCCACGGTTTTTATGGGTCAGGAACCTGAGCATGTCTTTGCTTCAGGGGGGTCTCATCCGAAGGGTCCGCTGGACTCTGATCGGTTTCTGAGCTCCGTGACTGTAAGGCACAGCCAACATTGAAAATCACTCCTTGTAAAAGGGCAGTGGAAGAAATCAAGTATTTAGACAATGAGAGAAGAAAATGTTAAATGTTTCCTGAAAAAGGGGAAGGGGTCGGGAATGTAAAAAGAATACAAGTATAGTCTCTCACCTGATCGTTTAATATGCATGCACATGACGTAAGCAATAAAATGAAATAAATAACCATTTGGTATAATTAGCATTTGTTGTGTGTTTAGCACAAAAGTGTGTGTGTGTGTATTGCAGGTATGATTTACTTGCAAGTTTTTCCAATGCCTTGCTTTATCTCCTAGGCATATTTTGAAAACAATTGCCCTGGGACAGATGTTGTCCTTGTGTATCTGTGGGACGGCTATCACCAGCCAGTATTTGACAGAAAAGTACAACGTGAACACCCCGATGTTCCAGAGCTTCCTCAACTATTGCGCCCTGTTCCTGATTTATACACTGATGCTGGCTTTCCGGCCAGGTATGTCGAATGTGCCAATTACCTTTTCAACAAAATTATCTGTAAAAATGTTTGGTTTTTAGATATTTAAAAATAAAACCTAGGCAAAACTAAAAACAGCTGTACTTACAGAAGTTATTAGAAAAGCATGACACCTCTAAATTCTATGAACGTAGTGACTAGAGGTATATGTATAACTCTCTGAAAGTGTTGATTAAAAGAAGTGCCATGAACTGTGTATAACAGAGTAGACGGTCAAAACAGTGTAAATGTTAAGTTTTATTTTTTTTCTTCCTACTGGTTGATAAGATTAAGAGTCTTAAAAATTCTTAGCTGGGCATGGTGGCTGTAATCCCAGCACTCGGGAGGCGGAGGCAGGAGGAGCGTTGGGAGTTCAAGACCAGTCTGAGCTACAAAGTGCGCTCAGGGTCAGCCTGAACTGCATAGTGAGACCCTGTCTCAAAAAGACAAAAATAAATAAATAAATAAAAGTAAAAATTCTTAAAAAGATGAGAATATCACTCTCCAAAATAGTATTTCCAACACAGTGGAGAATGCTGAATGGAATATGGATACACGTAGAATTTTGTAGAATGGACTGTGTCATTCATTCATACATGTATATATACATATATTTCACATATGTATATGTATATATATGAGCCCAGGGCCTTCAAACTGAACTATATCCCCAGGCCTTTTTTATTTTATATTTTGAGACAGGGTCTCACTAAATGGCTAAATTCAGGTGGGTTCAAATTTGCAATCCTCCTGCCTCAGCTTCCCAGAATGCTGTGATTATATATGTATATATAAAGTAAGAAGAAGTTAAAATACTTTCTCAAATTATGTACCCTGTTGTTTCAGGTGTCATCTTCAAGTCGGATTTCTTTTTTTTTTGATACTGGGAATCGAACTCAGGACCTTGCGCTTGCCAGGCAGGCGCTTGTGCCGCTGAGCTACATCCCCGGCCCTTATTGGTAGGTCACATGTACTCACCCAGCTTTTTTTTTGAACCAGGCGGTGATAACCTTTTAGACATCCTGAGAAGAAAATGGTGGAAGTACATCCTGCTGGGCCTGGCAGATGTGGAAGCTAATTACCTGATCGTCAGAGCGTACCAGTACACCACTCTAACCAGCGTCCAGGTAAGGGCGGCCTCTGACCGCCTTGGATTGTACATCTTCAGAGAGAGGATATGTGCCCATATGTGCCAACCTAATTTTACTCAAAACCTGTTCGCTTGGAGAAAACCTAAACACAGTTGTGTGACACCTGTTTTCTGGTAGAGCATGTGTACTGATGGATAATGTTTCCCCGAATTAGCAGAAATGTGTACAAGTTAATCGCTTCCTAATTGCTCATGATGTAGAAGATTAGAGCAGTTCCTAGCAAAATAAGGATAAATGTTGAGTTGACAGTTGGTGCTGTGATGTTGACAATTCTGTTTCATGTGTTGCTCAAACATCAAAGTGGCTGTATCCTTGTAGTACAGGAAAGAGGCTTATAAACAAAGTAGACACTCATGACATGAGCAGCCACTGGTGTCATGCACACCTGTGATCCCAGCACTCTGGGAGGCTGAGGCAGGAGGACTGCAAATTCCACCCCAGCTTGGGCAACTCAGCTGCTTAGGGAGACCCTGCCTCAGTGTAAACTGATGTAGCTCTGTAGTTTGAAGGCCTCGGTTCAATCCCCAGTACTGCCAAAGCAAACAAACAAAACCCACTGGAAGGAACCTGTTCAACATTCTGGGGAGATGTGGTAGCCAAAGGTAAAATTTCCATTCCTACTTCTTTATTAGGTTCATTCTGGCTAAGTTTTTTTTTTTTTTGGTAATGGGATTGAACTCACAGTGATCCCTCCTGCCTCAGCCTCCTGAGTGCTGGGATTACAGGATGGGATTGTACCGAGCTTGGCTCATAATTTTTAAAGATTAAAGGAGACTCTGGGAACTGGATACATCAAAGAAGAAGACGTTTGTTGTCAAGAATGTTTCCACTGGAGGTGATAGGTGTCGGATGAGAAGCTGTGGAATTTTAAAGTATTGGAGAACTGAGATCATTTTTTGACTCAGAGAGGTCACGGAACTAGCTGATCAGTGGGGGGCCTCTGAGGCTTGTTCAGTGAATGGGTAGTTTCCTTGTAGGATTATTCGTGGTTCGACAAAATTGTTTAAGTTTTATTCTAAGACAGTTTTGGGGTAGGTAAATCCGGGCATGGTGGTACATGCCTGTAATTTCAGCACTACGGAGGCCGAGGTAGGAGGATTCCTGTGAGCTCAAGACCAGCCTGGGCTACATAGAGAGACTTTGTCTCAAAAACCAAAACAAAACAAACAAACAAAAATGGGGATAGGGAATCTTCTGTGGTAGTTTTTAGAATGGACTTTTTCTATCTGTCTTTTTGTTTGTTTGTTTAAGAAGTATAGTTTAGACTTTGTTAAACCATCGTGGATAAATTCTGCTGCTTGCTGTCTTCCGGGGCAGGCTATTATCATTTCCATAATTTAATGGTTTGTTATTCAGGCAGGCTCAATAAAGCACTTAGGAGATTAGAGTTCTGCCACTGGAATAAAAAACAAGGCAAGATGCCCGTTCCTACACATGGTGTGTTAGACTCCAGTGATGGTATTGCAATGAAAAGCAATCAGTAAACAACTTCAGATGGGATCAAATAGGCTGACAGAGATTTAGGGGTCTGCTTTGTTTGTGACTAAACAGATACAGAAGGAACCTAGGATAAAACTTAACTAACAAAAAGCAGGGTGAGCAATAAAATAGGTTTCAGAAATATTAAGCTGAGTGTGGTGGTGCACACCTGTAATCCCAGCACTCGGGAGGCTGAGGCAGGAGGCTCGCTGTGAGTTCGAGACCAGCCTGGGCTACAAAGTGAGCTCAAGGCCAGCCTGAACTGCACAGCGAGACCCTGTTTCAAAAAGACAAAAAACAAAACAAAACCAAAAAACAAAAAAACAGAAATATTACTAGTGTAAGGCATATATTTTATTTATTTAGTTTTAGCGAGGGTCTTACTGTGGAGCCCAGGCTGGCTTTGAACTCACAATGCCTCTGCCTCAGCCTCGTGTGTTCTGGGATTATAGGTGTGTGCCACCATGCCTGGCTTTATCCTTGAATATACTTACATGCAGCAAGAGTTATGCTTGAATATATTTCATCCTTGAATTCACATAAAATTTGTGACATTAAGAATAGAGCAAGTGACTAAGATAATTATGCTACTAATTTCTATTAGTTCATTGAAAAGAACAGTGCTTACATTGTTTGATCAGTTTTGCACCTCTATGTCTTGTCATCTGAGCAACTACTTTGAAGATAACAATATGCAATATATTAACCATTGTTAATTTCAAAACTATCCTGTTTTGAAATTCTGTGTCATTGTTTTTATTGTTTTTCCTCTCTTTAAAATAAAAGAAAAGTTAAAAAACATTGAGCAAGTCAAATCTGGTTTTCCTTTATCTTGCAAGTGATTTTGGCCCTCTTAACCCCTGCCTTTCAGATGGGCAGTATCAGAGGCGTGGTTTTCTGGACCTAGGATCAACAGATGTAGAAGGAGTACAGGATGAAGATGAGCAGGAGTGTGTCCTGGGGGCAGACTTCTGTCTCCCGGGGATTGTACAGTCCATCAGGGACTTTCTACTCTCCCATAGTAACCTATACTTCCTTGGTGTACTTTGCTCGAGTACAGTGAAATACCTGGCTTTCTGATTAGCTATTCCATGCCCACCTAGCCTTGTGTGTGCCCCTGAGCACGGAGCCTGTGTCTGCATCTCCATCTCCGTGTCCCCGGCTTCTCTTGCACATGTGAGGTGCTTAGTAAATATTTGTTGCCTGAATAAATGGATGCGTGCAGGGAGGAAAGTTTGCCACCTGCATTTAAGGATAAACAGGTGGGAGCGTAGGGTACAGCGGCACAGGCCCTGCAGTAGAATTTGGAGGTTCAGCAGTGGATTTTCCTACTTTTAACTACAGTGGTTCTGCTGTACTTGTTAACTGGTTCTGGGCGGTGTGACGAGGGCCGAAAATGACAACTACCAGACAGACAGTTTTGGCTGGAAAGAGTGGTGAGTCAGGCGAGGGACACCGACAGGCCCTCGCTTGTGCGTTGAGACCCGGATGGTGGGGACTGAGATTCTCCCTGTCGAAACGCACTGCTTGCCAAACTGCAAGTGAGTTTCAAAGCAGTTGGGCGCCAACATATGGCTGCATGTGATTTTGGGCGACTCATTTTGCCTCTCCGTGCCTTTATTTTCTCAGTATAAAGTGGGGTCGTAATTCCCAAAGAGTTACTGAGAGGGTTCAATGAATTAATCTCAGTCACACTCTTAGTATACGGGGCTGGCGGTAAATACATGCTCAACCAGTACTGCTTCCTATTAGTACTTAGTTACCCGTCTTTTGGCCAGTGAGGGATGTTTAAAGTTGTTTTTCCTTCCCTGCAGCTCTTGGATTGCTTTGGGATTCCCGTGTTGATGGCGCTCTCGTGGTTTATTCTTCGTGCGAGATACAGGGTGATCCACTTCGTGGCTGTGTTCGTCTGTCTGCTGGGGGTAGGAACCATGGTCGGTGCAGACATTCTAGCGGGGAGGGAAGACAATTCAGGTGAGATGTCTCTGTTGCTTGTTTGGGGTTTGGTCACGAAAGAGTTTTGCTCAAGTTTTCACTTGTAGTTTCCCAAAGATATAGTAACAGGCAGAAAACACGATCTGGTTAGCTACATTTTAAATTTGATTTTTCAATTTTACTTCATTCTAGCGTTTTCTAACAATTTCCAAATGCTATAATCCTTATGTCCCTACTGGCCACAGACCTTACTTTACTGTTTTTTGGCCACACTGAATAGTTTTGTTTTGTCTCATGACAGAGAGGTTTCTTTTTGCTTTTCTTTTTCTCCCTCCTTCCTTCCCTCCTTCCCCCTTTTCTTTCTCTTTTTCTCTCTCTCTTTCTTTCTTTCTTTCTTTCTTTCTTTCTTTCTTTCTTTCTTTCTTTCTTTCTTCCTTCCTTCCTTCCTTCCTTCCTTCCTTCCT